AAAATTTTTTTTAAAAAAAATCCAGAGACATCTAGGCAAAATCTAATGTAGCCTTCTCATGGATAATTTTCTGATTTTTGACTTTCCATTTTTTAACTGAAGATCTTAAGTTTTAAATGGCATTAATCAAAAGCAAAATATCACAAATCTGAACAGACATTTGTGTAAGCACTGAAGCCCTTCTCGCATTTACTATAATTCTATGAGGTACTAATTTGAATTGTACATGAGGGAAATTCTTCAATTTGCTAGATCTTCAGTGCTTTCTACAATTTGTCTATATGTTAATCTCAAAGTTTATAATAAAGGGAGAAACATCTCCTTCCTACAGTTTAATCCTATTTTTTCAGCTAATTCTATTAATTTCAATGAAAAAAATGTCACCAGGGACCCTACAAAACACATTTTAAAAAAAAAAATACTGACCAACTTTTATTTTCTGTGGCTGTATTTACATCTGAAGTTCATCGTTCTATAGCTGAATTGTCATCTCTGATACTATTTTCTTAATCCAAAGCACCCACAATTTGTGTCATTAAAATTCAGGAGCAATTGCTAACTTTGTTTCTTTCCCCAAAAGTAGAAATGAAATTTGTATTAAGCTTTTGTGAGCTTTAACACAATTGTTTTGCTCTTTAAAAACTACTCTCCCACTGGTCACATCTCTAACAAAATAATAAATTAATTCCAGCTATGGATTCATGAAAACCACATAATCCTCACCCTTGCAACACAGACTGAAAGTAAACATGAGGCTTGGAGGCAGAAAATAGAGATAGAAAAAAACCTTTACTGAATTGAACAAACTTGGTCCCACTGAATATTTTATGCAATGATGCAAGATTCTGATAACATGTACAAAATTAGTGTCTTAAAATGTTAATCTTAAACCTGTTGTGGGGAGAGGAAAGAGACATAGAGTCACCTAAATGGATAATAAACTTCAACCATAGCTAATTTTAAAAATCTGTTTAATTATACCAAAAGCTGATTGCTTGGTTTTACTATAGTACAACAAAAATATGCAAGCTTCAAGTAGAAATAAGTTTATCATACTGAAACAAAATATAGCAAAGTGCAAACTAAAGAGGAAATACTACTGCTTTCCTCAAATTACTCAAGAAAAATATATTTAAAATGCTATATTACAAATAAATACAACAAAGACTAAACCATCTCTTTGGTCCATATGTTTATAAAACAAACCAACTTAACCTGTTAATTGAAGTAATATTAAAGAGAATGTCTAGAATGCCATTAGAGACTATTTCTTTAAACTTAAGCTTATGTTATTTAGTTAAAAAAGGAAGGCCCGGAAGAGGTTTATTTTGAATTGTATGAATTTTTCAATTGTTCTCCAACAGTTGTTAATAACTGTTCATGTTCAAATACTGGTACTGCGGAAATGTTACACTGCATTTTTTCTTAAGAATGCTTGGTCCAAGTTGAAACAATTGTCCAAAGACATTTTTGGAGAACAACATAGATAGTTCTTTCACTTTTTTTAGCAGCTGGAGATATTATGGTAATACCATTCATACAAAAAAACATTTCACCCTGAACTACAGCACTCTAACATAAACTTACAAGGAATTCATACACACTCAACCTTTTTAGAAGATGAAAATTTGTCCTAGTATATAAGCATTTTCCTTATGTATTATTTTCAAGGCTGAATATAAAAGAATATTGCTATAAAACACACTTCCTTGGTTACTTCATTCCTGTTTTTAATATATAAATCCATTTTAAAAGCAATAAATAACTATCACTGCAGTCACTTTAAAATACAAGTTTGATGTATTCTGTTCAAAGGCATGGGAGGCCAGCGATGTCTTCACTAAATGGTATCTATTGTTTGTTCAAATGTGTATTTAAATATCCATTACTAAACAAGAACAGTAAGAAGTTCTATTCACCATCCTTTTATACAAAAAAAAAAAAACCAAACATAATCATATACAATGATTTATCTACAAAACACTTCATCAATTTAATCTTACTAGGGGTTATCTATGATTGCCTACTGTTGTAAAGTAATTTTGCTTCTTTTTTTTCCAGTAGATCCATTTTTAGATGGCAATGTTACAGTAATATGTAACATATTCTGAGGACAATAAATATATTGCAGTATTTTAACAAAAAGTGCATTTCTACTATCATATGAATTATTCCCAGCCTAGTTTTAATACCAATAGAATTTGTTTTGTGAAAACTGTTGGTAGTTTCATCTGATGAGACAATCACAAATATAAGAAGCATCTGAGTTTCCAGCATAACAATGTTTCTGCATATAGCCCTAAAATCTTTATAATTAGCAATTTACAAATACAATCTATATAACTGTCTTTAGTTCTGGGGCCTGAGAATGTTTGTCTTGTAAAACCATTAGATCTGTACAGAAACACTAAATATCAAACCAGTTTACATATAAACACAACAGCATACCATAAACATACCATGTTTTGGTGCTCAATAAAATATGGAAATTAAGATGCAGGATTCTAATGATAAAATTTTGAAGAAATAATCTTCCTCCAACTGAACCAATTCTTTAAAAATCCTCATGGCTTTAATTGGGGTAATAGTCTTCAATTGTGTTTTTTGTTGTCTTTTTAATGGGAACTTCCTTACCACATCCATTACAACATTGCCAAACAGTAATCCATCAGTAGACAAGAACAGCAGAAAAATGGAAAAACTAAAAAATTAGTTCTAATATATACTCAAGGCACTACCGTCTCCCCAAATCATTTTATAATACTGTCTATTTAGTAAATAAATACATAAATAAATACATAAATAAATACATAAATAAATAAATAAATGTACCTTGGTATTTAAGTTTAAATTAGCTGCAACAAAATATATTTTATTAAATTCCCACTGCCTTTTGACCTTGATTCAGAACCCAGGATGAGCACAAAATTTATATTTGTGGCTACTGTGGAGAGAGCTCTGCTATCAATTGACGAAGTAGTTCCATATAGATAGATTCATTCTTGCTAGAACTGCCTACCCTTACTATTTGAAGAATGACAAAAAGATAAACAATAAATTTCTTTTAAACTCTTTTAGACCAAGATAAACCTTGAAAATTAATATATCAATACATAGGAATATAAATTGAGATTTGTACCACAAAATTTAGAAAAGCTCTGGAGCAAAGAACTTTACTGTCAAATAATTATTGCTGTGGGTATGATTCTATTATCATGACAATTTGTAGCTGTCTTTTTATCTTTTTTTAAAAGATGCATATATAGACACAATACCTATTTTAATCTGTTTTAAGGATCAATTCACACAGTACTTCCTTAATGGAGGAAAACACACACATACACAGACTACCACTGTCAATATATATCAGGACTGTTTGTTCCAATTTCTAGCTAGAAATTCCACTTTTTAAGGAAGGAGCATGAATGAATGATGAACCAGTTGGACAACGAAAGTACCTAAGCTTCTATGGTAAAACAGTGTGTTTTTCAGCCACTGCCACTAACAGTCTCTTTCAAATGTTTTTTCAAACACCAGCACATGCATAGGAGACCGATATGAGTCAGGACAAAGTACAATTTAGTCATTTCTTCCTAATACTCATATTGGTCCATTAAGATACTTTCTGTTATTGATATTCATTTTATAACATTTTATAATAAAGACAGCTGCAGTCACGCCACTATTGCTTTTGTTCAAGCACACAAACAGAACTATTCAAAGCTAAGCTAATAAAAGTCACATATATTTGCTCCCAAGCTATCTAAAAATTGGGAAAATTCTATGAAGATTCCCTGAACATCTAGATCACAGTTGTCCCAAAGGTGCTTTTCAAAAGGGAACTGGATTTTCTTGGGGGGTTTTCCTTGAAAATGTTTTGCTTCTTTTGGATAAGAAATGTTTTCAAGAGAAAATAAACCAAGAAAGCCCTGTTGTCTTTTGAAAAGCACCTTTGGGATAAAAATTGGGAAATTGAAAAGGAAATTAAACTGTCCTGTTCTTAAAATTATAACAGCTTAACAGAATAATTTTGTTCTGAATCACATACAAAACAGTTTTTTCTTTCTTTCCTTTCTGCGTATCTATCTCAGTATAATCTGGTAAACATGAGTTTTTTAAAATTATTGGTTTCCACTGGTCTTAATGATATTAGTGAATCCTTAATTTTAGAGATCATTAAAACTGGCTTTATAATGGATCATTTCATAAAAGACATTTCATTTTGTATTATTTGACCTATATAACTTTTCAAAATCTGTAGTGTGACTACAGGGTATACTATAAATTATAAGATATGAAATGTATAGAAATAAATAACTGAAACTGGCTTTAGTGAATACAATGTTATCTCATAAACCCCTTCATAAAATGCTCTCATTTTGAATCAACAGCATTCATATCCTTATTAGAGCTTTGCTTTAGCTACTGAATCTGCTCACATATAACATCAGTTCACAACTGTTTTGTTCCCACGGCCATGCTAATGTTCTGAACTGAATGGGATTCAATTAATAATAAGCAAATACCTAGCTGCTATACCTGAATTTTTAAAACTATATCTGCAGCATTCAATTACTACACATCTAAATGGTCACACATTATAAATCTTTCTTTTTAAATCAATTTCACATTTGGCACATTTATTCATTCTTCAGAAATGCCCCTGTATTTTCTTTAATAACATCACAATGATCACAACACCAACTGTTTGACTGATTAGCAGCTTCACAAGGTGATTTATCTCAAGCTTCTCCTTAATGGATCACACCTTGCCTATGACAGAGGCACATTAGGTACAGTGCAGTAGGGTGTCATTTTTGGACTCTAGAGGAAAGCATTTTCCAAATGGATAGAACCTCTAGTTTGCAGTCCACATACCATGCATTTCCCTGGTAATTCCAATCCATCAGCTACTGAAGCCATTTCTGGAAAGCTTCACTGCAGACTGCTCCCTTTTATGCACACACTTTCATAAAAAAGTAAAAGTGTAGCAAGAAGATTCAAAGTGTTGCAAGAATCCTTGAAAATGAAATAATTATTGTCAGTACAGTCTGCCCAACTCCAAACACCAGTGCTTCCAAGGGAGCCATGCTTTTCCCAGCCACTCTGTAAATTCCAGCCACTGCTGCACCTGAAAGGGACAAGGAAGACAAAAGTACAATTATAATTAGAACCAAAGATTTTTATTCAAAAATTACCATATTGTCAATATGTAATGTTCCCTCCCTCCCTACACAATTTATTTTACAACTCTTATCACACAGTGGACAGCAAGTACAGTTTAGTTCTATAATTTACTAAAATGTAAATGAACACTCTTCTACGCATATAAGTCCATAGTATATTTAAGGAATAATCCAGCAAAGTTAAGCACTTCTTTCCCATTCATTTGGGGAGATATGTAAATATGTGTTCAGCTCTCCCATTCAGTGAGACTTAAAGTTCCCAACCCATGTAAGAAACTAATAATTAAAAGCCTACGCAAGACCGATGATCAAATAATCTAAAGGTTTAGTTTCTGATTGTTGACTGCTGATGAAACAACCTAAAATAGAATTCAGTTCTGCAATGATACTAAGAATTCTTTATTTATATATAGTCTAGATCAATTTCCTTTGAACCTTGATCCACTGTCTAATTGTTTCAATTGTTTAAATCTTATCAAGCATTCTGCCTAGAAAACAGGAGCAAAGTAACCTTCCAACTGAATGCTATTCCACTTACAGCTAATGTATATGCTTAGTTCAACCGGGCATGCATTGACTTCTACTCTCTCTCTCCTTTTGTAGTGAATTGGAAGACTGAGAATCAGTTTCCTATTTCAACTGAGCAGAAAATAAACTTTAAATCAAGGAAGAATCACAAAATCAACTTTAGACCGTAGTTTAATATACTGGATTGGTCCAAAGCTGGTAACCATGCTATAGGTAATCTTTGATTTATGACAGTTCATTTAATAATGGTTCAAACTTACAACAGCCTCAGAAAAAATGATTTATAACCTCTCCTCCAAGTTACATTTGATTCACCACCACCCTGGTCATATGATCTAATTTGGGCACTTGGCAACCACCTCAGATTTACGATCAGTTGCAGCCTCCTGCAACCTTCCCAGTTAGTTTCTGACAAGCAACATCAACTGGAGAAGCTGGATTTGCTTAACAACCACATGACTTGCTTAATAATGATGTGATTCACTTAATGATTGTTATAAAAATGGTCATAAAATCAGGTCGTCACATGATTCATTTAACAACTGCATTTCTAAGCAACCAAAATTCTGGTCCCAACTGTAGTTGTAAGTTGAGGATTACCTGTATCCTACTTGAAGTAAACTGAATTTGCCCCCCAAAGAAAACTGAATATTTTATTGATTTTTTTCTAGAAGAAATAGAATCATTCTAGAAACAGAATCTGAATCATTCAGATTCAATTATCTGAAAAATAGTTTGACGTTTAATATAAATTTCCTTATAGAAAACTTCCATAAATTATTATATTATTAGCATAAGATTAATCTACCATCTTTTTCACTCTATGATACATTAACTGTTTCTGTAAGATGTTTATGTTCATTTGATATGCCTGATATGAAGATTTTAAAAATATAGAAAGTTTATTATATGTAAATAAAATCCTGTACGTACTGGGTATTTTTTAAAACAGACATTGCTTCCTATTTAAAACAACAGCTGGCAGTAGCACTAATCACAATACGTGGGTCCTCATAAGATATTATAGATGTAACAATCTTTATGTTAAAGATTCTACTGTGTGTGTATGTGTGTGTGTACATAATTATTTAATCAAATCAAATGTGGCAGATAAGGACACTTCATTTTTATCACTCTAATTTATGTAAGAGAACCATACAAATCAAATATAAAAATAATTAGAATAAATCTTGGTTAATGAAACGACTCCTAGTTAAAACAAACTAAATGCATCATTCTTTTGTATTGCAAAGAAGACAATAATGGTTGCATATCAAGTGCAAGTTTTATTGATAGCTTAATTTATTAAACCAAAATATCACAACCCCAAATCAGTAGAAGACAAAAATTCTGAAAGCAAAAAGATTGGACATTAATTGCTTGCTCAAAGTTGTGTTATAAAGTATTTTTTTTATATTTCTGTGGTTATCTCAAAGAATGTATCAAAATCTGTGCAGAAATTTTTTTAGACGTAGGGAAAACATAACACTAAATAAATCATAAGTAAATCATAATGAAAGAACCCTATCATCTACAGTTAACAAAGCAAATATTTATACAGCAAATTATACTGTACAAAATGATTACAAAGGCATTAGATATAAATTGTTGCTCCTAACAAATTTATGAAAATTTCTATAGGGAATATAAATCTACCACACAGGTACACAAAAAAATATCATACATTTTTATATAGGAATCCAAGCCTTGCTTTCCCCAAAAAAAGATTGTAAAAAACTCATGAGATCCCAATTGTTTTATGAGGGGTGATTGCACATCTCCTGAAATCACTAAGCACTAGCGTGACAACTCCAAGCAATGCTCCTTTTCATACCACATTAGTAAATCATTTAGGAATCAAGAAGTCATGGAAAGAAGCTAATGATGCAGCTGTTGTCTAACTTGACCCAGAAGAGAACCACTCTATAGTACCTTCCACATTCATTAAGTAATTATACTTTTTGGGCCAGAGGGGTTAATTTTTATATATATATATTATACCACATTTTTACAAGGTGAAAATGAAATACACATTAAACTTTTTTTCCTGGGTAACATGTTTTAATAGGCACTTGAGATCTAATATTTGGAGACAATTCAATGACATAGTATATTTATAAACAAATATAAATCTATACTCATAACTTGTGTGAATTGAGATAATCATAATTTGCTATGATAAGCAAAATAGTGCACCTATTCTATAAAGGATCAGATAATTTTTTTTCTTTTGAGAAGAATGATTAGGTATAACTATTTCAGTAGCTATCTCCTAAAGTACTTTAGATTGTAACAAAATCTTGAACAGAATCTAAAAGCAACAGATTTTTTAAAAAATTTAAAAACAAATGGACAAAGTCTCATTGTCAATTTATTAAACTGTTCTAGAACCTTCATTATCTTAAATACAATAAGAAACATGCATTAACATATGAAAGTGCCAGGCTTTAATTGCTATTCACTATTTGTTGCACTGCACTTAATATAGTTTAGGTACATTATTTAAAATGGGCATTCACATTTCAAATAATTTTTGATCTATTCTAAGAACCAATTTTAAACAGTAATTGTGAACTCCCTTCCCCATACCACTTTATTTAGATGCCTAAAGCTCCACTGCAATATTGCATTAATATGGACCAACAATTAATGCAAATTTGTTCTGATGGCAACTGAAAACTTACTATACAATGTGAAGGTTATGCTATTATTATTTATCCAGAATTTCAGTATATCACAACAGATCTTTCAATGCTTTACAAAGCGTTGTCATAATTTCGCATCACTTATTGTCATAGTTGCACTAGACATCTTTTATAAGGGAAAGTTAAAACAATAGCTATTGCTATTTTCACCAAAGCTAGAATGGCAATATGAAGGTAATAAAATCCTCTTCAATATAGAACCCTTTTTTTAAAGGTCCAGACTTTTATTATCAGTTTGAATCATGGAAATGGGCACACCTACTTTAGGCTTCAAAATGCAGGGTTTTAAAAACTGTACTAGGATAAAAGGATAGGTTATGGAACAGACCTGGCACACAAATGATCCAAGTACATTATCAGAAATTCACAAAACATGTATATAAAGCCATTATGTGACTTGAGAATAAGAACTGTGGTTATATCGTTTATCAGATAATGGCACTGGAAGAGAATTATACCTAGGATATTATTATATTATAAAAAATATAATAGCTACAACCTTTTGCGTGATTTTTTCTTTCTTTCAGAGAATGAATAGCAATCCAATATAAAATTTGAAAAATTATGAGCAGAAGCAATATATGAACATTTATTACAATTGCTAATAATAATCTTCAAAAAGAACCATGACTATATTTTAACATGTAAGACTTACTGGTTATCATAGCTCCAGTTACAGAACCCAGAAATCCAATGCTGACCACAATGACAGAGATTACTCTCCCTTGCCTATGCCTTTGCAGCATGACAAACATTAACACTCCTGCAGCACCGTGGACAAAGAGAGAAGAGAAGAGAGCCCATAGGAAAACCCAGTACCACATTTCTGGAAAAAAGTAATCAAACAGCAGGTTAATATTTCTTATTTCTTTCTGATTAAAACAAATATATATATATATATATATAAAGTATGTGGAAAATGATAGAGATATAAATGCATGCACAGAAGTAACTCTCACAAGTTAATTTTATTATCTTGTCCACTACCCATTTAAAAAAATATATTATGTATAATTCAGTGTTTTTCCTTTTTTTTTCTTTTCCTATACACTAGAGTGAAGTCTTTTTTGTTAGTGAGGAATGTACGGATGGCATAAAGAAGTAAATATTAAATAAATATAAGTAGACGATATGTCAAATACATAGAAATAATCCTCACATACCAATTCATTTTATTATTCTGTCCTCTACCCATTTTCAAAAGGACCGTGCATACTTCTGCATTAGATTTAGTTTTCTACCAAGAAAACTCTTTTTGTTAATAGGTTGCAAAACAATTATATGAAGAATTAAATATTAAAACAAAGAAATTTTAAAATGATCACTTCAGAGTTATGCTAATGTGTCTATGTTTGGTGGGTATGTTTGTATGTATGTGGGTATGTGTGTGTGTGCATACAAATATCTCTCATACATACTCACAAACATTATCCATAAAATACACTGAGAGCTAAAATAAGGATGTAATTTAAGGGAACCAACATACAGAATACTAATTGTTAAGAAATAATAGTGAAAGTAAAGTACTGAAGGTATTTACTTTGCTTAAATGGGCAATATGCAAAATGATGGGTTTTCCTTTGATGAAGCTAATAATATTTCAGTTACCAATACACTGCTTCTGAATGTTTATAGACTGAGGTTTTTTATTATTTGAGGACTGAATGTCAGCTGCATAGAACTGATATATGCAGGGCTTTTTTTCCTCATAGAACGCACAGAACAGAGTTCCGGCACCTTTTTTGGATGGAACCTTGTAGGGTAGGCAAGGCGGGTTATATGACGTGTGTGAGTTCCGGCACCTTTTTTTTTTTTTAGAAAAAAAGCACTGGATATATGTGAAATAACAGAATATTATTTTTTTAAATTTCTCAATGAATGCTTTATGTTATATTAAAATTCTGTTTATTTGGAGATGTTAAATACTCAAGTAAATAAAACAAATCTTTAAATTCATGGAATTAACTCAGTATGCAGGTGTAGGACTATTCAAAATATAATATTTAAAATCATAGAATTTCAACACACATACTAGTTATAGTGCTTTAATAAAATATATGTATACATTAGTTTCCAAAAACAGTTGTTTTACAGTGCAGTACAGTATTAAATACCACACTATGCCTTACTGTTTTAATTGTTCATAATTTGAAAATATTCCTTCATTTAAAGCAGCGGTTCTCAACCTATGGGTCGCGACCCCATTTGGGGTCGATTGACCATTGCACGGGGGTCGCCAAGCAAGGTTGTCCGCCGTTTTTTTTGTCTGCCATTTTTTTCCCCCTTTTCCGGCGGGTGCCTTACCTCCCTTGGGCTGGGCCAGCTGGTGGTCGGCCTGCTCCATCTCTGCCACTTGCCAGCTATGCCTCGGCCGGCGCAGGGGGCGGAACCACGCATGCACGGCGCTCCCGGGCAGGGAAAGTCCTCGACTTACGACCGGTTGGGTAGTCCTCGACTTACGACTGGTTTAGTCCTCGACTTACGACCGGTTTAGTCCTCGACTTACGACCGGTTGGGGGTCGCGGCATTAAAAAGGTTGAGAACCACTGATTTAAAGAGACATATATTGAACCATATAAAATCTATGCAATTAAACTAGAATCCAATAGGAATATAATAGTTCTCAACTTATGACAGTTTGACCATTCAAAGATTTGATGGACATTACAAAAGCTATTTATGATCGATTGTCAAAATTGCAATTGCCCACTCCCCATTGTTATGTGATCACATTTTGGGCACTTGGCAACTGGCTTGCATTTCTGACCAACTGCAACATTCCAAGGTCACTTGCCACAATTTGTGACATTTTTCACTGTTTTCCAATGGGAAATGGAACAAAGATGCCAATTGGATATGCTGGCTTTAATGACTTTGTGGTTCACTTAACAATAAGTGATTTGCTTAATGACTGTAGTGACTCATTTTATGACCATCATAAAAACAACTCTGGTTACTTGGTGAGATTGTCAAAATGAGCCTGGACATCATGCAATCTTTGGTGCTTTGTGGGATTGCACTACCCCAGACAGACCCAATGCGCAACCTGGGGATCCTCTTAAGAGTCTGCTCCATGAGCGGCATTTGTTGCCAGTTAGCTTGCAAGTCTAATTCAAGATGCTGGTTTAATCTTTTAAAGCATTTCATGGCATAGGACCATGCTATCTGAGGGTCTGTCCCATTTGATCTTGCAGAGAAAGTATGCTGATGGTATTATTGCCTAGGGATCTACATCTGGTGGGTCCCAGGAAACGCCCCTTCACTGCTGTGGCACCCACTTATGAAACATCCTTCTTCTGAAATTAGATTGGCCCCATGATTTTTCATAAGGCCTTCAAGAACTGGTTACAGTATTATTAAACTAATTTATATAACCACTGATCTCACAACAGTGACTCTGGGTGGCTTACAAGAGAGCTAAAAAGTATAGAAACCAAAATAAAATAAAGAATAATAGATGAAGGGATGTTAAAAGTAGCAGGGTCACTTCACTAGTTCACCTGTCCCCTGGGATCCCCAGGCCTGTTGGCATAACCAGTTCTTGATAGACAACAATAAAGTTCAACAATAAAGTCAACCGCATCTCAGCAGGGAGAAGATTCCACAGCAGAAAAGGCCACTGCTTAAAATCCATTAAATATAGCTCTCTAGGCAACAGAATCTGTTAACATGCCCCCCCAGTGCTGGATCCAGTTGGATAAGCAGATGGAAGAGTACCAACCCCTGTGGCACCCCGACACAGGGTGGAATTTCTTTTCCCAGTCATTGCTGACTGGAACTGACCTGTAGAAAGAAGGTGAACCAGCACAAGATTGTGCCATGCTACCCACCCCAATCCTCTGAGTCAGTCCAGAAGGTTACCATGACTGATAGTATTGAAAGCTATCAAGAGGTCAAGTAATGAAAGGATGACACACAGCTACTATCCTGCCCACATCAGAGACCATCCAAAAGTGTAACCAATGCCATTTCCATGCCATATTCAAATATGAATCTGACTGAAAAGGATCCAGATAATCTGCTTCATCCAAAGTCCTCTGAAGCTGCTACACAACCACTTTTTCAATCATCTTCCCTAAAAAGGGAAAGCTGGATACTGGCTCATCAGGATGAAGAACTTTTTGTTCAATCAGGAATTAAAACTAATTAATGCAGCCTGTGGTTGGGAGACCCTGCAAGTTTTGTTCTACCATATTTCATGTTATTTAGTTTTATTTTATACTATTCTATTTTTAATCAAATTGTTTTTGTTGATCATAAGCCAGAGAATTTATGAGACACATACTAATACCTAAATAGAATAAAATGCTATATTAGTGGGCATTATTTATTTTGAGAAGTATTAGAACTAAATATTAAATTTAGATTTTTAGCAAATGGATTTGTTTTGGTATAATGAGAACTTTTTAAATCTCAGTCATGCAGTAAATTAGTAGCTTTCATCAATAGTCAGTATTGGTAATCTTCAGGTTCCATGTGTTTAATGGTATTTCCATTCATTAGCTGGTAACCCATCTTCTATTCTTATCTTCATTAAGTGCCAAACCAGCACATCTGTTTAGGCCAACTTTTACTCCTGTGTTTCACTCTATGCATCTGATAATGTAAGCTGCAGCGTACAAAAGTTTATGACTTTTAATAAAATGTATTAGTCAGAAAAGTTGCTACCAAACTCCTCCTGATTTTTGGCCACCATAAGTTAACACAACTTTCCTCCTACAATATCTAGGAGCAGTGATTTTAATGCTTTTTTAAAAAAAATCTATAGAAGTCTCTTTTTTTGTAATTGAAGGATCGTTTCATCAGTTAGTAGGTGGTATCTTGTGCTACATGATTTATTGAAATCTCTTTTGTTCTATTGCTTATTTTATTTCAAATAAACTTGTTAGATTTTTCATAATCCCACTTAACAATTTCAGTGTTGTGACCCAGCAACTTAGAGTCATCTTTTGCTTTCCGATTGACTTTTGGTACTAGAAATGTTCTTTCATTCTTCATTTTATTGTTGTTTGCAGAAGGTTATTCAGTTGTGTTGCTAGCTTGGAGTGTAGGCTTCTCAAAATTTGAGCCAAAAACTATGCAGTTAATCTTTTGGGGGGACTACTCTAGTTCTTTATATTTTTGAGTTTCATCTAAATCATTTTTATTGCTCTCACTACATCTTCCTTTTGTTTTTCATCAAATTCTTTCCAAAATGTTATGCTTTTCATTGTGTTCTTGATAATTTTCCAATATTCAACAAATTCTTTATCAGAATTTGTTTAATACAATGTTTTATTCAAACTGATTTGTTTTTATTGCTTATTGGGAACAACGCATCCAGAAGAATGGACTAGCATAGACTACTTAGAAATAAAAAAAATATTCAGTATGAAATTGATTAGGATCTTGTCCCTATTCTGTAGCGGGTGAGCCAGCAATAAAAGTCTAATCAACTACTTTAGGTCAAAGAGCTGAGCTTGTTAATTTGTGGTTAGCAGTTTTTGGAACCAGGTCAAAGTAGCACAGGAAGAGGTAGCTTGTTTAGGCAATTTCTCTGCTGGGGGGGGAGGATAAAGAAAAAGAAAGGGTCAGGCACAAGACAATGCCTACTGACTGTAATGGTGACCATATAACAGAGAGAGAGAGGCTACAGAAGTTCGTAAATGTGGGCATTGATCACAAAGTTACTTTTAAATCACCGTCAAAACCGTGAATTGTCACTATCTGAAACAGTAGCTAAATCAAGACTATCTGCATATTTTTTTTATATATGTGCTTTTTAAAAAAACATTATGATCTTTAATAAAAAAAATTCTTACGCAACCCATATACTTTTTAAATTTT